CTGTTTTAATATTGCAGTATTATATCTCCCTTACTCGTTGAATACGATGAAAACATCAAATCACTACAAGACCAGCTTAGGTTTCAAAAGGTTTGACTAACTGAATGATTTTAACAAATTATCATTATCTACAACTGATGCTTTTGTGGTTCTTTCTGAACATTAGATAGTATTTAAGATTAAAACAAGACAGAAAGCTATATATGACAATTTGTAAGAGAGCTGCTGAAATTACAAAGTCATAAAAATACCATAAAACCAACTCAGTTATGAACCCTACAAATCATAAGCCCTCCCAGTAATAAGCACTCTGGTATATGAGCTCACTAGTTTGCTAATTGAAATATACTTCCAGTTATAATCCCCCCAGTTATGTAGCCTACCTCTTGAATCTCATATTTATTTCATTTGTGAAACATTTGTGAAATTGACTCAAAGTGTGAGAGCTTTAAAGAAAGAAATGACCATTTGTTCCTCATTCCAAACTCTTTTTCCTCAAGGTCATAAGCCCATCCAAAAAACCTTGAATTTRCATAAGCCCAAGTCTCAAACATAACCAGGAATTTGCAATACACTATATAAAATAAGCTGCAGTTTATGAGGAAATGATAATATGAAAGTGGATTACGAATTACCAAGAAATTGTAATCTTTATGGCTCTCTGTGAGTTATTCCCCTTTATTTAACCTTTCTCATATTTTTAATTGTCTAAGCTCAATGCCTGAATTTTATCACAAAGGGAGAATTATCCACCTTAAAGCAGAGAACCGATAGAGTTATAGAGGAAAACACTAGGTAAGAAACCATATCTATAGCATGATTTTCGATAATTATTATTATCATAAAAWTTTTTTAGATAACTCTTTCTTGATTGGTCAAAAAACCGTGACTATGATGAGAGTTCATCATAGGAAAAATTCAACTTGCAGTATTTTTCTAAAATCCCACGTTGCCTTATTTTCCAAGTTTGACATCAAAATCTATTCTTTCCAAATTCATTCATTGAAACAAATAAATTTCAAAAGTAAGAAATTTGACATCGGACATGGAAGATAAAATCATTTAAGGATTTTTTTAAAGAGGTCTATTTTAATTTCCCATGATTTTCTTTAAAATGAGGAGCAGCTAAAAGTCATGAATTTCCTCCTATGTCATCCTTCTCTCCCATTAGTCAATCAATTTTTTGTGTATTTCCAGGTTACATGAGGAACTACGTCGTAGTATAGAAACACAGATGGAAGTTATGCGTAGAGGAGAAAGTTCAGGAATAGCAGACTTGGAAAAGGAAATGATTGACAAAATGCAGTATCAGTTACAGCTTGTTAACCAGGTTAGTGAAAAACAGCCTTACAATATTCAAGTTAGTGTTATGCTTTGACATCAAAAGTGTCTCACTCTACTAGCCAAGCCACTGCTCATTGGTATGTGTATAAACTAAACAATTCACTGTCATAATGATTGTGCACTGAACTTGGTATTAATTTTGATTGGCTAAGCTACCTGGTGGTCTGTTTCTCATAAGTCTTTGGTAATTAGAAAAACTCACACAAAAATGAGAAATCRATGAAAATAATGTTTTGCCTAATTTTCTCAAAATTCCGAAACTTAAAAAAAATAAAAGCTTATACTCTAGTTATTAATACCTAGTTTTTATTATTCAAAACAAAAACAATAAGGCCTCTTGCCCCAATATAGACCTAGTAATTAACTAATTTAGACCTTTGTTAATTAGCAGCTGATGTAAATGAACACAGCAATTTTWATTTATTTATTTTAGGAAAAGGACAGCTACATTGAGATGTGGGGAAATGCAACTAGGGAGCTTGAGAAACTGCAGGATATAGATAGGGTAATTAATACAGAGTGACTTGCATGGATTCATAGCTCTTTATAAAGCATCTCTAGCAACCCTAATTAATTTACGTAAAGAAAAAGTRAAAACTGGTTTTTGGTTTTTGAAGAATCCATTACTGCAACTTTCATAAACATGCGAACTCTGTGTGTCTAATTTGCACACTGAAATTTGGCTTTTCACTGCCGCCAGTCAAAAATATGACAGGTACCGACTGATTAGGTTTGATTGACGGCAGTCAATGACGGCAGTCAGCATGAAGCTTGCAGACACAGAGTTCGCATGTTTATGAAAATTGCAGTAAGACATATGGTTAGTGAAAAGACTCTGGTTACAGTTAGTGCCATTTGAAAAAAATCCATCACTCGATAAGAATCGTTAGMATTGTTACAAGATTCGATTACAAAAATACAATTATGGAATATTGTACAAGTTAGAATCAATGTAATTGAATATGATATACTCAAAATAATCTTATAAGTTTTCAATTGATTCAGGAAAGGTCAGCTGAGCTCCGTCAAAGAAGTAAAGAAATAGCAGCTTTACAGGTGCATTCTGATATATTATCACTGAATTTTTTATTATTTTTCAAATATTAAATGTTTCTCTTCTGTCATCTGGTGTTTTAGAGTGACCTCCAGAAAGCAAGACGCCTTGCAGAAAATCTCCAGCTTGAATATAAGAGAATCAAAATGGTAAAGTATAGTGAAACTTCTCTTATGAATAAAAATTGGAAAACTAATGGACAGTATTGTCTTGGAAGATTGCCTGAAAGGAAGTGGCAGGGGGGGAGGGGGGGGGGTTGGTAAAATGGGAAATGGTATTTGCCTTTTTTGTCCTGGAAAAATAGGATTTAGGTCACTGAGAATGGGATAAAATAGCAAATTTGGAATGGTAAGAAAGTTTTTTGAAAGGTTTGGGATTTGATTGATGGGAAATGTGTTTCTTGATTACAGACCCTGGGGGGGTACTCCCCTATATTTGCTATACAGGTATATGCCGCCCTATAGGGTATGRTTTTTTGACATTTTGTCTGGGATAGGGTATCATTTTAGTCTAAGATAGGGTTAACRATTTGGTCATTTTTGTCTGGCAAATAGGCTTTGCTTTCTGCAGGCACAAAAACAATAAAAAYGTTAGTAAATATTGATTTCAATCTGTTGAAAAAAACGTCTTTTCCATCTTTTAGTCTGGKATAGGGTGTACAATTCTTAGTTTTAGTCTGGGGTAGGGTATGTAAAATCAAAAATTTAGGTCTAAGATAGGGTCAGGGTTCTGAGGTCCTGGCGGCACACCCCTACCCAAGTTGGGGTGGTAGTACCCCCTCCCCYGGGTTACAGACTCATTTACTCAGGCTTAGCCTCAAATCAGTGTCTAATTACTCTCAAATACCAGCRGTAAAGTAAAGAATGAACAACTTCAACAATACAAGCACTTYGAAACTTGACGGACCTTGACTGGAACATGTGAACATTCTTCACAAAATCAAGGCTTAGCCTGGGCAAATGAGTCTGTTATCAAGAAACACAGCGGTAATTTGGAACTCGAAAAGGGTCTATTGCCTTATTCCACTTTTTATAATAAACAAAATCTGTATTTTAATTGTATATTAAGAAATAAGATAGCTTTATCTTTTCTGTTCAACAATATTATGGGAAGCAGAAGGTAATGAAAGAAAAAAAAGTGCAAAGCATCAAAGCATGCAATGCATGTGTAGTGAGTGTTTTGCCTATGTCTCATGCCTCTTTTTGCACTTGTTTTGTGCTTTCCTTGCATCCTGCATGTCGTATTATTGAACACAGCATGATAAAATTTATTCCTTAAATGTTTSTTTGTAACAATTAACACAGGAAAATGACAAGATTCTGATGTCAGCACAAACACAGGATCAGGAGATTGACAGCACAAGAAGTGATTTACGGTAACCACTCAATACATATCACTATTTGTTTATTATTATCATTGTACAAATAATAGAAAGTGTTATTACAATGGGTTAAAGTTTAATCTTGCTCTGGGTCTCTTCCAACTATTAACTGGAACCCACCCTGTGGGAAGGGGGAGGGGAGGGGCTCCAATTGTAAAAGGGCATGGATACTTTTTGTACCTTTTAGGGCACCAGATTTAATGGTACCACTTAGGGTGTCACAAATCTTAAAGTACGACTAGAGAGTAAGCTGGTACCTCAAAGGGTGTTTCTCTGGTAATAAGATACCAGAGATTATACCAATAACACAAAATGGCAATTGTAATAGAGGATTACCATTTCTTTTCAATTCATCATTAGTCACTTCTGCCACTTAGATAATAGAGAATAGACCTCCTCGGCTCAGGTGTAATGTTTTCCCATTTCAGACCACGTGTCATTCCCTTGAGTTGTATCAATATTTATGTGCCTTCTCATGTGCAACCGATTGCAACCATTAAACGAGGAAATGATACTCTAGGAAATGACACGTGGTCTGAAATAGGAAAACCGGGGAGGTCTATTGATATCTTTTAGGGCTACAATCAGTAGTTGCCATTCTCGCCTGGACAAAACTTGGGTACCTTTCATGGGGTCATTTTCAAAATTTCCAACTAGTATCTCCACCCTTTTATATATGGGAGTACCCCCCCTGGGGAACCCACCTGATTTGGGGTTTTGAGCATTTATGGTGGAGCCCAATATTTGAACATTTCCCATCTAAGTTAAGTGAGCGATAGGATGCATTAACCTTGAATAATTAGCATTTTTTATTTCTTTTCTTGTAAAATAATAATTTTGCAGTTTCTACATTCATGGCATCCATGATARCAAGTCACATATTTATTCACACATTCATTTATATACAGAAAATGCAAAACAGAATTGAAGGCAAGCAAAGCAGAAACTGAGGAAATGAGGAAAACATTAGAAAGCATAGAAGCAATGAGAAGATCCAAGGTGATGATAATTTTTCTATTTATTTTCTAGTTTTTATTTTGAATGGTTCCTTTTAACATTTCAAAATGCTACAAGTTTCAAGAACAAGAGTATGAGCTTTTTTCAAGATCATGATAAGATATTTTAGATCAAAAGTTTGAGTGAAAATAGTATATTATAGACGGATTGCTCGGCTTGTGGTGGGATTTGAGGGGTCAAAGTTACAGGATAATGCAAGTTCAAGGGGTCACATTTTTGTGTATAATATTGGAGCAGCTCTTCTTTCTTTTGAAAGAAGGAAAGTTGCTATTAAGGCTTCTATAATAGCTGATCATCACCATCATTTAATTCCTTTTATTCATTCATTCATGTTACAGGATCGTCAAATAGATTCTGTTAAGGGACAACACCAATCAGCTGATGTACGGAATGAGGAACTGCAAACTTATGTACTTGAACTAGAGTCAAGGTAAAAGCAAAAATGAAAAAATAAATAAATAAATAAACACGTTCATACGAAGGGCTAACGTCAAGTAACTTATTATTCGAAGAAAAGAAAACTGAATGTGGTACTGTGAAAAAGTACTTCACACGCAAAAGGGRAAGTTCATTGGGTGTCCTCGAGTGCCCCTTCCTGCTCAGGTTATTTTCGAAACTTTGGAAAATAGGCATCCCTAAGAATGTGGGGATGAATCACCCAAATTTAAACCCTAAATTCACTCCTGGAGAACATGTACTTATATCGAAAATCCCATAGTGAACACTGTCGTTTGGTAGACTTTGACACTCATGGCTTTCTGTCACCATCGTTACATTGCGATTGAATGACCAATTTACTAAATGGAAGCATTTTTACATGTTATTTCACATTTAGACTCGGTGCTATGATCAAGGAAGTAGGAAGGCTGAATACAGAAAAGGCTGATGTTGAAGAACAACTTGAAACTCTTCGAAAAAGAAAGTAAGAATCAATGATAACTGTTTTTCGGTACDTGTTATATTTCCATGCTTGACATGAACATCGATATATTATCTGTTTTAGTGCCGTGCAAGAACAGCGTGAGTTTGAARCCATTACGCATGTGCGAGACAGCGTCCAGATGGTAGAAAATGCTATATTGGAAAGAGACCAGGTATTAGAATGGGTGGGTGGGTTTATAGACATTAGTCTACAGTTCACAGTTTTCAGACGGTAAAGAATGCTATATTGGAAAKAGACCAGGTATTAGAATGGGTGGGCGGGTTGATAGACATTAGTCTACAGAGAGTATTCAGTATTAAGAATATGCGATGCAAAAAGGAGATGTAAGATAAGGCGTGGGTTGGTACGTAGACAGCCAGAATATGTTGTATCAGTATCGGCTGATCTTCAAAACGTTATGAATTTATAATTTATGTCTATTTTTCAAACAATTTAACTACTGACTTTTTGTCTTGGAAGGCACTTGTTCGTGAACAACAGAAAACTCAAGAAGCAAACAGGCTGCAAGAAGTAATTGACAAGTTACTACGAGAAGCTGGAAAAAAGGCAAAAGACGAGGTAAGCATATTTGCTCCTGCTTCAAGTATTTCACGTCAGTCTACAAGACAAAACAAACACTATGAAACGAATCGTGCTTTTTTTCTTTTGTTGTTGTTGTTGTTTTGGTTGTTGATGTTGCTGATRTTGTTGATATTGTTGTTGATGTTGTTGMTGTTGYTGTTATTGTTCTGTCCTCGAGTTTCAGGGCTAAAAGTTAAGGAGAGAGGGACTTTTGAGTCTTTCCGTCCAGTTGTTTGTTAAACCYTATTTAACCGTCTCATATTTTCTTCGTAGGTGGACGCGGTTAGAGATCAATGCAACAAGAACTTACAGCGATTGATGGAAGAGATGCAATATCTTGAAATGGTACATAAGAAATCATCCAAATTTTTACCAGTTTTACTATTAGCAACCTTTACACCTATCCGGATATATTTGAAAACGATTTTTTTYCTGTGCGGATTGGCCTTGAAAACGCAACTTTTGGGAAAAGTATATGTCTGGACGGACGAAAACGATTCAAAAACGCTACGTGGGGAGGAGATTTTTTTTGAAAACGGAATAAAAAACTTATTAAACTCAAAAATATTCGGATACGTTTGGACGGGGCCTTAGATAAGTGGGTGTGGTACTTGAAAGGGAAGTGTGTGCTTTAAGGTAACGAAATTAAAGACGCTATGTRATGTGATCGTGAAGGTAGGATGGAAGGATGTCCGCCGCATTGGTAGGATGGAAATGAAATGAAAGATTGCAATATGTGTGGATATGAGATTGGATGATTAAATATAGAGCGAGTATAYGGGGTGGAGCAGTGGCTCGTATGTGAAGGGACAAGAAATGTGAAGGAAAGAAAGAAGTGATTTGTATGTCGGTAAAATCGGAGAGAGTAGGTGAGGAAGTCATGTTTTCCGACATGTTCTATCGATGATATACAGCAACGCAAAGTAACCTAAGAAAACGACTCCTAAAACTCCAGTGTATGCGAGCTAAGCCTCAAATCCAGGAGCGGATTTCTGATTTGTGCTTTTGTTTTCCGATCTCAGAAGTGAGGTTAACCCACATGACTGTAGAAATGCGYTGAAATGCGAACTTTTTACTATCCAAAGCTAAAAGACGCCATGTAAATAACAGTGTCCTCTAAAACAGCCCCAGGATGCAACGCGTTCTGCAAATCCGAAACGGCGATCACGSGATTGCTTCAAAGTATTTGCCAATATTCTGAGGCTACTGAATGAATTCTAGCTGTATTGAATTAAAAGTGACGGCAACGTTAATAGCTAAAGTTATATTTTAAAAATTGAGAAAAAAACACACAGGTTATCCTCTTTTTATCCTGGATTACTAACGATTCTTCTTTTTGGTTCTAGTTTTTATAGAATTATCAATTCTAATAAGCTCATAAAAAAGAAATAAAATCTGCTTCATTTTACCATTCAACGGTCATACCAAATTCCAGAATTCAATTAAGAACTTTCAAGTTTGTGTCATTTTGCATAGTAATTACTCCAAAAGCGCTTCACCTGTCAAATCTCTGTTGACTTTTCAAACAAAAGACGCGGTATTCTATCGCTGATAGTGTAGTCTGGTTTGCGTGGTGTAACTGCTAGTGTTTTTTGATGGAGAAAGAACCCTTTTACGTGAGAGACAAGCGATGGATATTCGAATACTACCCGGTATTTATTACTAGTTCACTACTTATTCTGATTTTTATAGTCGTTTTGCCATATACAGCACCTTCTACATACAGCATATATTTGCCGGGTTTGGAAGCTGTTTGATTATTAATTTGATGTTGCTCAGTCTTTTCATGTTCATTTATATCGAACTCCCTCGATCTTTGGTTGTTTTCTTCATAGATCATTTTATTCTTTTAAAAAAATATGTTTTCAGTTACTGGCACTTAACAAAATTACATTTGCTGGTTTAACGATTTTACATTTATAGTCACGTGTGAATGGCTCCAAAATATCCTTTCAGTCTAGTGTTTAACATCTTCGGTTTTGTACCTTTATCCGATTTCAAAACCTTTCCCTTTTCAAAAGGAATCAACAATTACATTATTTTTTGATATTTTTCCTTTTTTTTTTCATTTCGAGTGTTGAACAACGCGAGTGTCACGCCATACTTTACAACAAAAGTCACACAATCTTATAATTTGTTGGCCATCTTAACTAGATTCATTTTATTTTTCTCGTAGGAAGGAGCAGAAAAGCAGGCTCAGTTAGAAAGAGCAGTAAGAGAAAAATCCGCCGTCGAAAAAGAGTTGGAAAAGGTACTAAAAAGCATCAATCCAGAGAGCGGGGGRTGGGAGGGGAGGGGAGGAGTTAGAGGAGAGGAAAGATAGTTACTATGATACGCGATTGTTGTGTCACACAATAATAGGTATATTTTCTCTTGCACCCAGTTCAAATCGCGGGTTGGTTGAGCGTTAGGAGTCTCGGTTAGGTTCATTGCCTCACCCACCAACACTGAGGGTTAGGGGTCAAAATAACTGAGGAGAAGGTATTTTTAGAAGATCTGAATTGGTAAGCTTTTCGAGGATTCTCCCGAGCCTTCCCTCACCTATGTATGGGAGACATTAGTTATTAGTAATCTGCTGAAGCATTAGCATAAGAGTAGGGGATCAGTGTCAGATTCCACTTGGTTTACCATGTTCCTATACGACTTTGAATATTACTAATGCAAATTGACATACTAGGTAATAAGAGAACACTGGATCAAAAGCAAAGTTTCGCAACTTAAATGAAAAATGCACCAAGTTTTCTATGAACGGTTAAACATAGAAAAAAATTGTTAGTGAAAGTTAGCATTAAATCTTAAAAKAATCCAAGCGCACAGTTTATAGCAGGCACATATCATTGTTGGTTGTCGATAATGTGAAAACCATCAATTGACATTAGTAAATGCAAACTCTTYGCTGCCAAGCACAATGCATTAAACATGTTGTTTAAAACATGACCTTGTTTTATGACTCAGGTGTACAGGGAAGGACCGTCTGAGATCGAAAGAGTTGGATTAACCTTTGAAGAACTACAGAAGAGAATCGGTGCGGCAGAGAGAGCAAGGGATGAGTCTTCTATTAACTGTGCTAATCTTAATACGACCATTAAACGCATGGAAAGCAAGTATGCATGACTTATGATAATGAGTTTTTTTTCAAACCTGCCTTGAATTTTATAGTTGGCGTTTTGCRAGTGCGTATTTGCCCTGTTACTCAAATCTAGATGTATACAGACTTGACACTTTTTCTACTAAGAACATACTCTAGAGTAACAGGGTTAACTTTGCTGTCCGTCCACCATCTAATTAGGAAAAAGTTGGCATTGCAGTGCACTGTGGGATTATCTAATGGGACGTATTTCCAAGATGGCGTCTAATTCTTTCCCCAAATTAAAACTGCCCCAAAATGCACTGCAATTCCAACTCGAYCCACTGTTGCACTTAACTTTGGAATGGCTAATAGAGAGGAATTAGATGAAAAATTGCTAAGCTTTTTTGAAAGTTTAGAAAGCACAAAGTTTTCGAACCCTTAGATAAATGTTGTTACAGGAGAAAGTATAACAGAGTTAATATTATTACAGACACGAGCAGGAGAAGGCTCAAGCATTATCTGAAAACGACGAACTACGAAGAAGGATGAAACAGTTGGAGAAAGAGAGCGAGGAGATGTCAGAGAACAGACTTCATTTAGTTGGTATGCTGCTCGTTATCTAGAATAAAACCATGCCCAATGCTCATGTCTATAGAGCGCTCAACGCTAGATTGAGGAAAAACCTTCAAATTTGCTCGATACTCTTAAATAACGTCTTGGATGATCGAAGTCTGAGTAACGCTAATTTGCATACTGAATTAGGATTTAGCGGGTTTTGCGGAGGGAGGAAAACCGGGGTGCCCAGGAAAAGCCCTTGAATTAAGGGAGGGAACTGAACTCTGCTTAAATATAATGCATACCGAGTCCAGGAATCAAACCTGAGACCCCAGAGGTGAGAGGCAAGTGCTCTCGCGGCCGCTATTCCATCCTTTATTTAAATTAGCAGATCCTTTCTGCGGAAGGGAGGGGGGGAGGGGTAGGAGGGACCTTTGAGGCACCGGTAGAAAGCAACAAGAAACTCTATTTCTATGCAATGGACCAGGGGCGGATCCAGGATTTTGTTAAGGGGGGTGTCCCAAGTAGGTCTCTAAGATGGTGGCCTCCTAACAATGGAATCTGATTACGTCAGAGTAAGAGTATGGTAGAGGGTTGTCCGGTGCACCTGTGGACACCTCCTTGATCCGCCCCTGTGAACGTTGATTTGCAGATTCACGTGTTTGATTTCACCTAACTTCATTTTTGTGTTGCAGTGACTTTTTAATGTACTTTATAAAGGGTCTTTAAACTTTTACCGAAGTGCGCTGCTCTCAGCTCGCTTAATAGCAAAACACCAGTGATGGGAACTTGAGAGTTCGACTTGTGACAAGTCCATGCTTTCACTTTTTTTTAATCCAGAGGAAATTGACCAACTTAAACGTAATCTACTTGAAGCAAGACAAAGTAGAGAYAAAGCCGAACATGAACGTGATACAGAGGTATTTTAACCTGCTCCTCATCTTCACTCTAATTATTATTTAACTTCTTACAAGTCGGGTAGTATTCCAGTAGATATTATAGTCTTCCATTCATCTTCATTGGACGTCTGAAAGCAACAACACCAATAAAAAAAGACTCTATGATGCGTTTACACGGTACCGGACGAATTTTCAACCGGTCAAGAAATTTGACCTGTACAGTACCGTTCACATGGAACAGTTTCTTTAGTTGTATAAAGAACACGTTCTGTCTACACGGAACCGGGTCCACCAAATTTGAACGGCTAGGCATATGAATTTTTGCTCGGATAGCAGTCCCGTGTTCACGAACGGAACCCTTAAAGTATACAACTTTTTGACCAGTTAAAAATTCGTCCGGAATTGTGCAAACGCAGCCTTAAAAAAAGGGTCAAAAGAGGCTCAACTTTCTTATTCTGTAGCATTAACACACTGACAATCGCATTGTGTTCTCTTAGGTGATACTACGTCTATTATCATTGTGTATGAGAATATATATGAAYTATATATTTGTACTGCGGTTGTAATGTATCAAATTGAGCTGATCCTCAATCAGTATATCAAGCATCTTATGTAGCTKCAAGTTGAAAACTCGGAAAAAATGCTCTTGAACGGGATTTGCACCCGTGCCCTGGCGATTCCGGWGCCATGCTCTAACCACTGAGCTACCAAGTCTCATATGAGACACATTAGGTGGGWATATCTAATATTATTGTCCTTGTTTTAGGTTGCAGCTCTAAAAAAGAAAATGGAACTCAAAGAGAAAGACTTCGACTTGAAACTTCGCAGCGTGGAAGAGATGAACCGCCAGTCGATCAATGAYATGAGAGAGATGTTGAACTCACAACAGAAAATAGGAATCCAGTAAGATTATCAGCTGTTATTGTAGATGATAGTTTCAAAATTATCTTCAAAGCAAAGTTAACTGGGGAAACTATTGAAATGACACAAAATCCATCGAGAAAAAGTGTGATTTTTCTGTATTTTCCTCTAAGCCTCATATCCAAGATGAAAGGGTTGTATTAAATGAAATATTAAATAATTTACGTATGGGCGTAAAAACCACGACGCAAAGTCACGGCTAAAGTCTGACATTAGAGAGTTTTAGATTTACGTTCACGGCAAACGTGAAACGTCAGTTGACCAGTAAAAAATTATTTTAAATTATTGAAAAAGAATGGCAAAAAAGTCCAAGTAGTAGAAAAACAAAAGAGTATTTGCGCTTGGTGAGAAGGTTTTTAAAAGGTAAAGTAAAATAAAGGAAAACTATGAAAACGTGGTCACGTTTGCCGTTTGCGGGGAGAAAAAAAAGTCAATCTAAAACTCTCTATTCACTAAAGTCAGTCTACCCGTTAGATGCGGGAAATTTATCAGTGTTCTTGGTGTTTGAGTAATAACTAGCCTGTGTAGCGGCGTGCTAGAGGATTGGAGGAGGGAGGGAGGGAGAAAGAGAGAATAACACGAATATCTCAATCTAAATGCACTCGGCTAACCTTGATATTATTATTTGTAGATGGAAAGAAGAGACGAAATCACTGACACAAAAATTTGAAAAAACTGTTAATGAATTAAGGTATTCTTTCATTCATGTATGTTATTAAGGCCTAGGGTAAACATCAAACTTTCTATGCACCGAACTTAATTACATGGAAAGTTCGACGTTTGCCCTAGGCCTTAGTCGATCAGCTTAAAAGGGTACTTTGCTTTGGTGATTGGTGACCTTATGTATGTAAGATGGACGATTTTACGAAAACCCAATGAGTGTAATATCCCATTGAGTGTAATGTCCCAATGAGTGTAATGTCCCATTGAGTGCAATGTTTTAGAGTGTAATCAGTAACAATTGTCATTCCACGAAGAAATAATACTCAAGAGAATGACAGGTGGTCTAAAGCTGTTRTCATACTTGTATAGTATCAGGTATTCTTCCCACAGCTACCTCTGGTCACACACCCGGCCCATGGTTGAGGTAGTGGCCTYCATCGCGATTTCGCCTTGCCAAACAAGTAGATGCCCGTGCTCTGTTTTCGTGTCGTTTGKTCTTATTGTTTATGTCTAACCAGCTCTCGCTATTCTTCATTAYACTCCAGTTTCGAGTTCTCTGTTGCTCAGGCTTAGCCTCGATTATGTGTAGAATATTCATGTATTCCAGTGAAGGTCCTTGAAAGTTTTYGTATTCTTGACGTCGTACTTTCTTTACTTGATCGTTGGTGTTTGTGAATATTTGTGACCAATTCAAGGCTAACCCTGAGTAAATGAGTCTAATCAAGGAACACARTGGTATTTTGAAACTAACGGACTATTTCCCAYACAAACGCTTCACCTTCCTCAATCTTCCAAGGATTCGTGAGATGATCAATCGGGGATTGAAAAAAGGAATAACACTTCAATTATAGAAGAAAAATTAAGGTTTTATTATTATTTGGTTGTTTTCAGGCARCAAGTCTCCATGCAAAAGAAACGTAACGATGAGCTTAACCAACAACTCGCTGATTCTCGTCAATATTCAGAACAGGTTAGTCTGTTATATCCTCCTTTGCAGACGTTATTTGTGTCGGTAGAGTTGAATTCGCTTCTATATTTGCATCTGTCTGTCTGTCTGTCTACCTGTCTGTCTGTATCTCTGCCTTTTTGTTGTGATAACATTTATACTTATATCTTTTATTTATACTGCTTTTATATCTTGTAAATTCAGGTTGAAWCCAAACTGAGTACTTTTCAGCAAACCGTCAATAAACTACAGAAGATGGCAGTAGATGCTGAAACAAGAGCTGATGCTGCTAGTACACAGGTACGTATGCATACTCTGGATTTTACGATCAAAACATTTCTAATTGTTTCAGTTGGAAGTTAAACCATTCAGGATGTTTTTCGCTTTATTTTAGCGGTCCAGTCATTGTGAGCAATTGGACCCGCAAATACGTCATAACCTCTTTATCTTGGGCGTAATGTTTTCCCAGTTCAGACTACGTCTTGTTCCATAGAGTRTTATTTATTTTTCTTTAATGCTGGTTGCTCAAGAGTATGACASGTGGTCTGAAAAGAATTACGTCCAATCTAAAAAGGTCTATTGRCACACGAACAGGGTGTTGGGTATTACATTGTAGTCTACGAGATTTTTAAGGGTGTTTCTTTGAAACGGTGGCCTTAGCGGTAAGAGTGCTCGCGTCTCACCAATGCGACCAGGGTTTGGGGTCATGTGAGTAGCATTACTTGTTGGTTCTCTCCTGTGCTTCGAGGGTTTTTATCTCTGGGTTCTACGGTTTTCCTCCCTCCGCAAAATTAACTTCCAATTTGATGATGGAATGATGATCTAAGGTTTGTTTCCAAACCTCTCACGGTCAAATTGTTTGAAATGTTGGAACAAATGTTGAGCTGTTTRTTAGGGTCTTAAGTGCTACCCTCGTGAAATAGGGACTATTTTTTATGTTTTTATCTCTTTCAGGTGTCAACCCTTTTAAACCGAGAGCGTCAGCTACTGCAAGACAGAAAGCTGTTGAATCGTGAGCTGGAAAAACTCAAGCTAGAAAAGAGTAGGCCTGGTAACAACAATAGCAGAATAAGAGAACCCCCGCAACGTCTTTCAGATCTGCTGGCCAACCCTCATGCTGGCGCACCTTCTTATGAACCCCCAGTACGCCTYGACTTGATGTCACCACGTGACGAAAGACTTTTTGGCGATCTTGATGGATTTGATCGTCGGCCAATAGGAGGACAAGAATATTCACGTAATCGAGTGATATTATGATGATAATGTAACAAAAGCATGTTTTTCTATCTTCTAAGTAAAAAGAGGTTTTCCACCATCACGTTGTGACGGCAGCCAYGTTAGATGGCAGGAACAATAGAATCGTTTTACATGAGAAAGAATTCAGTTTCCGAGAGCAAAGAGATTTWATCGTTCTGCTATCTAACCACAGGCAGCCCAAACTGTATTATGGGCATGGGCACGTGATGGTAGGCACTGTGGTGAATAACTAGGACTATGTTTACAATTATTTGTTATTGTTATGCATGAAACTCATGTATGTATAGGTGAAACCTCGATCSTAAGCTCGGAAATAGCTACTTTTTATAGTACCTGAGGTATGAAATACAGAAATATGAAATACAGTGTGGAATTTATAAATAGTAAACCACATGACATGAAGTGTATCGCTTTTTTTCAACTTGCCAAAACTTTCAGATCTTTGGTCAAAGAAACGTTATTCTTGCTAGTTAGGTTTTGATAGTTTATATATTGTGTGAAAAATTCCAAATCCTGAATGAATTTAATTTTACGAAGCTTTATTAACGAAAAACCGTTTTTCAGAAGAAAAACTTGGATGCGGCATTCTTCATATACTTACTCCATCCACTAAAAGCATACTATGTTGTTCAGTCACAGAAAACAAAATCCGCAGGCAACCCAAAACTCATTTCCGTACCTGAAAACGAACCATTTGCCAATTGAAGAAAACATAAGGAAAATGCTTTCTTTTTTCTTTACAGGGAGTTCGGTTTTCGTGTCGGTATATCACATGAAATGCCGCCGCCAATGTTATGTGGTTGAAAAATAAAGCGCATTTTTTTCTGAGATTTTCTGGAAATTTTCATCAGTTTTTATTTCAAGCGACTTTTCTTTTGCGTTCTTTGAGTTGGTATAGCCGAAATTTAGAGCAGTCGGAGGCCATTTAGGCTAACGGTGATAGCAAGCTCCGATTCCGCTAAAACTCGGCTCTAGCAAAGGACACAAACTGAATGGTAAATGGTAACAAACTTCTGGAAATTCACATCGACTCTCATATCATGAGTAAATACACTAAAGATATACGTGAAAACAGTCATTTAATGCCAGMAAATACTCAAATATACTATGTACATACTGACATTAGTCAAAGGATTTATATACACTRATTTATAAAGATCGTGTTTGGATATCATTTATAACACACTTTTTCTATGTCAAATATATTGCTTTTGTGATAAACTATTAAAGTTGACTAAATATTTCTAACGAGTCTAGCGTGAATTGTCTTTAATTGGGAATACCAGCTCCATCCACAGTGGAAGTCCCAAGTTATTTATTGTGCTATATATATATATTCGCTTGAAATGAAAAAMATAAACCCATAAAAATATAATAACAAAATTATGTACTTTTAACAATAATATCCCCACACGGAGCCCAATTCAGGTAAAAGCTGTGTAAGATGTAAGACGGGAAAAAGAATACAGAAAGGATAAATAYACTTCGTTGAGTTTTGGTATTTGAGGCCAAGAACTGGAAAAATATTTAAGCAAAAACASGCTTTTGCCTATAAAATGTCGCTATGTTGAACCCTGTGTTCACAGTCGGAATACACTTGTATTTGAATTGGGCTCCCTGTGATATGTCTTGAAAGTCAATACAAAATAATAAATACTATTTCTTTAAAAAATAATTTAAAAATAATGAAAAATTTATAGATACATAATTTTTGAAACTCAGACCACTTAATTCCTTAACCTCAGTCCTCAATCCTTATTTACATATTACAACTTTTGGACCATTATAAATCCCTGTTAAAATTATATTMTAAACTGGGTTCACTGGGTTATAGAATGATTCCATAGGTCGGTGTTTTAGTGAAAACTACGACTTACTAGGTTACATAGGGTCACCGCCACAGTGCTTCTCGGTCGTAGTTTTTGTTACCGACAGGTAAGCGAGCGAGCCTCTTGCATCCTGAAGTTAACTTATTTCATGACCTTCAGTATTAATTTATTTATTTACAACAGTTTGCCATGGGATAAAGATAAAGAATTTGAGACACACATGAACTCAGAAATGCATGCGGCTAAACAGCATCGTAGGGCAAACCGAACTTGCCCAGTGTCATCCAGTTATCCAGTGACTACTGTTTTTTGAAAATTAATTCATTAAAAAAAGTGCTCAGTACTCCTCGATGCTTGCAATATTGTACAACTATAGTTAGTAAGATCCTTTTTTAAAAAGTCTCAGTTTCAAATACATTTGTTGACGGACGAAGCTGTAATAGCATGGAACTTCATGTACATGTATTGTTAAGAAAAAGGTTTATCTTCACTGAGTCCATTTTTGTTATAGAATATAGAACGCCAAATGATTTGTCATATCTAACTGCAATATTTTCGACAGTCTTAGTATAAATAGAAGGCCAGTTAGTTCACGATGAACTCAGTAACGTAATCATATAATTTACAACAGTACATCTCTTACTCCCTTTTTGCGTTTTTTAGGTTACTAGAATTAGCCATGACATGCATATCGAACATGGTAGGCTACAGCCCCAGTTATGAATACCTTCTATTGTTTTAGAGCCAAATGTAGCCAAGTGTTCTCTAAATTGAAATCATTCTCATAACTTTTATCAATTTAAATAATATTGAGACCAGTTAATAATCCCCGTCGGAATTGAAAAGTGTAAATCCGGGCTGAGWGAGACTCGAACTCAACTCTACCAACTAGCTCTACGAAATGAGCTATGAGCCTCGTTGGAAAGAGTGTGGGATCGATTCGATTCCTAATGATCGCTTTTTACACCGAATTTTTWAAGGGATAATTTTGGTTTATTTTGTCTAATCTCTAACATTATAATATACATTATTTATGTGCAATATTCTAAAAGACAGCCTTTTTTGAAATAGTTGTACATGTAAAACCATGCAATAATGGTGAAAAATGAAAAATTAATGCACGGAACTGACGTACAATTGTAAGAATGACTTAAGGATTGGCCGCATCAAAAGCATAATATGTTCTAAATAATACTCAAATAAACACTCAAAACATTCAAATAATAATCAAATCTCACTTCAGTTTGGCTTGTAATAATCTGTGTTGCAATATTTACAACTTTTAATAGGTAGGAATTATATTCCGCGATGTTCTGCCATGTTTCGTAGCCACTTGGCTTATTTTATAATACACATCGGTCTTTATACTGATATTCTTTACCTCCAACATCTAGGCTTTTTTCATTTAATGATTGTCCAGCCACAATCAGAGTTAATTCAGTCGTCCTTTTGTCAACCCTTGTCATACGAAACAGCATCCATTTTTCTGAGAATAAAGTCACTGTATCGAAAGTGCACTGTATTAGACATGCCTTTCTCTCCTTTTTCTCCTTTATTGACGTTCGTTTGGACGGCTGGCGTTTTTGCCTGGTTTTTGTTCATGTTAAAACGACTTTTTCCATGTGATTTTTGGCCGAATCCTAAGCCCATTCCATCAGAATTGATAAGCGGCAGTTTGAACGGATCTTCAAYGAACAAGTTGTCAATATTTTTCTTTTTGACTGGCTTTGCAAACGGATCACAGACAACCAAAGGTACATATTTATGTACAGGTATAACTGGTAGACTGAGATTGTGAAAGTCAGCTTTGGAGAAGATGTGTTGGTACGGAATCTCATGTACCGTCTCAAGCCTTTCCGCAAAGCAAACCTTACTATGTTTGTCTTCATCTTGACTCTTCATTTTTCCGTAGAAGTTGGGCTTTATATTGCTCTTAAATTGGTCTGTGAGAAAGGCTTTTTCAGACGAAAAAAATCTTGAACTATCTGTAATTCGTGTCTTTGTCATAGTCGATACGCAGTGGCTAGCAACAAGGTGTCTTCACACCATACATGCAAATTGTAGTGTCCTTAAACGCTCYTTTTACTCACTTGAGTTCCTTCCGATGGAAATTGCGAGATCATTTGTTAGAAACAACATACTTAAGCCAACACAAGTCGTATAATTTGTAAAGCACGAATCAAAAAGCAGCCAGTACTGATAGGTTTCTGTAACCACGTTTCAAGAAGTGTCTTCCGTCAACAAAACTCTTGAGTCCAAACAAAAAATCCTGATGTCTGATATCTAGCTCCTCGAACAAAAACCTAGCTTATCCAAATATCAAAGCTTTTCAAATCGAGCAGCCCCCGAGGGAAATCTTTTATCACTTGTATTAAACATGATAATTCATTTGTACGAAGAATATATTTGCAGCTAATGTCAAAATAAAAACTTGAATATTCAACTCGCCATTCGGTCTTACCCCATGGATTTTTGCTACAATTTTCTTTTCGCTTATGTTGTTATTCACAACGGTGTTTACATGATGGCTAATCGTTAAGGAAGGACTCCAGTGGCTCTTGAACCCACATAATGAACATCCAATATTTTTGTTTACAAAGTGGGGCACAAATTAATTGCTAAGTACATCGTTTAGTGGGGTTTGCACTTCATTTACAAGAACAGTTTGTTTTGTTTGGTTAGCGAGAGTTCTACATAAATCGTGTATAGAAGTCGGTGCCGCTTCCTACTTGAGTCACGCTCCATCGCRTGAGACAAGCCAATGTACTCAAACATTTGTTTTTGCGGGTTTGTTAGTTTTGTTCATTAAATGTGCCCGAGTTTATAGCAGATCAAGCAACTTTTCTTTTACGCGCCCTTTTGTTTGGTTTGATTAGCTTTTCAAAAAGATCGAAATTACTCTGAGCCAGTCGCACGAAACGATCAAAGATCGACTTTGATTCAAATATTCAACTTTTCTCAAGTTAAATCCTATCAAATTCAATGCATAAAAGCCTGAAGCTTAATATAGTACAGCGGTTATGATTTTWAAAAAACTTGCTAGGGCTTGAGCTGCCTTGGCTTTTGTCAACGCGTGCTCACGTTGAGTTTATTRCGAGCGTTAGAATTGAATGCGACGTTTGAGTCAAACGTCAAATTTCGAAGCGATCAAACTTCGTCCTCTAAACTGGACTTTATAAAGATTTATGCTTAACGCCCCCCCTCCCC